TGAGCACGGCTGGCCCAGACAGGGGCTGTGGGGACACTGGGAATGTCCCAGCCCTGTGCACTGGGAAGGGCTGTGGGGACACTGGGAAGGGCTGTGGGGACACTGGGGATGTCCCAGCCCTGTGCACTGGGAAGGGCTGTGGGGTGACTGGGAATGTCCCAGCCCTGTGCACTGGGAAGGGCTGTGGGGACACTGGGGGTGTCTGGTCTCTGTGCCCTTGGATGTTCCTCATCCAACCCCGACACCGTGTCACTGCTCCCCCCTGGAACATGTCCCAGGGCTCCTTCCCAGCGTGTCCATCCAGGGAAATGCCACGTCTCACCCTCGCAATGGGAGGTATCAAGGGCAGCAATTGGGGTGACACAAGTGCCCCGGATCCTCCTGGGATTGCCCCAGGACCTGGGATTTCAGCTCCAGGGCAGCTGTAGCGATGGTCACCCACAACCAGGGCAGGGAGAGGATCCCATTCCTGCACACGAGATCACCACAGCCCCGTGGGAGGAGACATTTTCCCCTGTTTTTCATGGCTCTGGGTGTTTCTTTCCCCCCAGTTCCCTCGGATCATCCTGTGGCTGATGGTGGAACTCGCCATCATCGGCTCGGACATGCAGGAGGTCATCGGCTCGGCCATCGCCATCAACCTGCTCTCCGTGGGCAAGTGAGTTGGGGTTGTGCAGGAAATGAGGAGAAAGGGGAACCAAAAACTCCATCACCCCATAAATCCCCCCAGCTCAGCTCTGAGGACGTGAGTCACCCCCAGCAGCCGAGGTCTCATCGCTGATTCAGCCTCTGGTGCTGGATTTCGACTGTGGGACCCGCAGGGTCTGGGCTTGGTTTTAGCTCTGACTGGTTCACAATTGGGGGGCAGCTTCCTGCCAAACTCCACATCCCACAGAGGATTCCTGGGAAGGCGTCCTTTGAGCTGGGAAGGCAGGAAATGGAGCTGGAACAGGCAGACCTGGGGTTTCCCTCGGGATTCGGAGGGTCACCTCCCGCGGAGCAGGACACAGCCCTGCACATCCCAACGCCTGCTCAGGCTGGGAAGAACCCCTGGACACGCAGATCCATCCCAAAAAAGCCCTAAATAAGGGGCATTTGGGACTCTGGGTGTGCACTGACCCCGCTCTCGCCCGCAGGATCCCGCTCTGGGGGGGGGGTGCTCATCACCATCGCCGACACCTTTGTCTTCCTCTTCCTCGACAAATATGGTAATTTCTCCTTCAGAATTCCAGGAATTAAAATCTGAGATCAAGGGTTTCTCGGGTTGGTGACAAGGGGCCTTTTCCTCCTCTCAGGCCTGCGGAAGCTGGAGGCGTTTTTCGGGTTCCTGATCACCATCATGGCCCTGACCTTCGGATACGAGGTACCGCTGCCTCCGGAGACACCCAGGGGCTGGAGGGTGTCCAGGGCTGGGAATGGAGCTGGGAAGGGGCTGCAGAACTGAGGGAGCGGGGAGGCTCAGCCTGGAGAAAAGGAGGCTCAGGGGGGACCTTCTCCCTCCCCAACACCTTCCTGACAGGAGGGGCAGCCAAGGGGGGGGGTCGGGCTCTGCTCCCAGGTGACAGGATGAGAGGAAACATCCTCAGGGGAGGTTTGGGCTGGATACTGGGGGAAATCCCTTCCTGGAAAGGGGTGTCCAGCCCTGGCCCAGCTGCCCGGGGCAGGGAGAGGTGCCTGTCCCTGGGGGGATTTGGCACGTGGGGACATGGTCAGTGGTGGTGCCAGTGCTGGACCCAACCATCCCAGAGGCTTTTTCAACCCTAACAAGTCTGTGATTCAATCCCACGATCCCAAATCAGCACCAAACACGGTGATGGACACTTAAAAGCCACGTTTTGGGCAGATTTGAGTCGGCGTCGTGGTTTCATTTTTTTACCAAAACAGCCCCATATGGGCTGTGGAGCCCCCAATGTGTCACAGCCCCAATCCCCCGTTCTCCTGTCCCCAGTACATCACGGTGAAGCCCAACCAGGAGAAGGTGCTGCAGGGGCTGTTCATCCCCTACTGCAAGGACTGTGGGACGCCCCAGCTGGAGCAGGCCGTGGGCATCGTGGGCGCTGTCATCATGCCCCACAACATGTACCTGCACTCTGCCCTGGTCAAGGTGAGCACCTGGGGGTGGGGAGGGTCCTCAGGGTCCCACCGTGGGAGGGGGACACGGAAAAACCCCCTCAGAGGAGCTCGTGGCCACTGTGGGGTGTGGGACCCGAGGGCACGTTCTGTGTCCCACCATCGCTTCAATCAGCCGTAATTCCAAGGATAACCAGTGAATTCCCACCCCCCATCCTGCCCCCGTCCCCCCCAGTCCAGGCAGGTGGATCGCTCGGACAAGCGGCAGGTGCGAGAGGCCAACAAGTATTTCTTCATCGAGTCGTGCATCGCCCTCTTCGTGTCCTTCATCATCAACATCTTCGTGGTCTCCGTCTTCGCCGAGGCCTTTTTCAACAAGACCAACGCGGACGTGGTGAGGGGACCGGGACAGGGTGGCACTGAGGGACCCAGGCAGTGCCCCTTCCCCTGTGCTGGGCACTGCCCTGAGTCCTGGGCTCAAAGACCTCAAGGTGCTGGAGCATGTCCCGGGCCAGGAACGGAGCTGGGAAGGGGCTGGAGCAGCAGGAGGGGCTGAGGGAGCTGGGGGGGCTCAGCCTGGAGAAAAGGAGGCTCAGGGGGAACCTTCTGGCTCTGCAACTCCCTGACAGGAGGGGGGAGCCAGGTGGGGGTTGGACTCTGCTCCCAGGTGAGAGGACAAGAGGAAAAGGCAGCTGGAGGATGTTTAGGTTGGATTTTAGGGAAAATTCCTTCATGGAACAGGCTGCTCAGGGCAGGGGTGGAGTCCCCATCCCTGAGGGGATTTAACAACTGCGTGGATGTGGCACTTGGGGGCATGGTCAGTGGTGGCCTTGGCAGTGCTGGGGTCACCACTGGACCCAATGATCCCGAAAGCTTTTCCACCCCAGCCCATTCCCTGATTCCTGCCCTTCTGTGCCCTTGCAGAACCAGGTCTGTGTCAACTCCAGCAGCCCCCACTCCTCGCTCTTCCCCAACAACAACGAGACACTGGAGGTGGACATATACAAGGGGGTGAGTGTCCCCGGGGGAATGGCCTGGGGACATCCTGGTGGCCTTGTCTGGGGTCCCCAGGGTGGGGACAGCCACATCTGGGGCAGCTGGTGACCCTGCCCAGTGTCCCCAGGGAGGGACAGCCACATCTGGGGCAGCTGGTGACCCTGCCCGGTGTCCCCAGGGAGGGACAGCCACATCTGGGACAGCCTGGTGATCCTGTCTGGTGTTCCTGGTGGGGGAACAGCCTCATGACCCCATCTGGTGTCCCTGGGTTGGCACAGCCACATCTGGGGCAGCTGGTGGCCCTGTCTGGTGGCAGCTGCTGCTTCTGGGTAAACTGGGAGCGTTGGGGACTGGGAGCAGTAAAGGGATCCCTGAAAACAGAGTTGGGGGGAAGAGATCCTGGGGGTCCTTGAGCCCACCCCTCACTCAGCTGACAGAGCTGCCCCCATCCTGTTCCAGGGTGTTGTTTTGGGGTGTTACTTCGGCCCTGCTGCTCTCTACATCTGGGCCATCGGGATCCTGGCGGCCGGGCAGAGCTCCACCATGACGGGCACCTACTCGGGCCAGTTCGTCATGGAGGTACCGACCCCTGCTCCTCACCCCCTGCTCCCTCCTCACCTCGGGCTCCTTGCTCTGGGTTCTGTGCTCTTGACTCTGTACTCCTTGCTTCGTATTCCTGACTCATCTCCTCTGCACTCCTTACTCTGTATTCTGTACTCCTTACTCCTCACTCTGTACTCCTTACTCTTTACTCTTCACTACGTTCTCCATCCTCCTTACTCTATTCAGTACTCTTTACTCTGTATTCTGTACTCCTTACTCCTCACTCTGTGCTCCTTACTCTTTACTCTTCACTACATTCTCCATCCTCCTTACTCTGTATTCTGTTCTCCTCACTCATTACTCCTCTGTACTCCTCACTTACTCCTCACCCCACACTCCTCACTCCCTCCTCAGCCCTCCCTCGTTGCCACCTCACCCCTGTGCCCCCCCAGGGGTTCCTGGCCCTGTGCTGCTCCCGTGCTCCCCTCTCCTCACCGCTCAGCCCTTTCTCACCCCTCGACCCCCTGTGCCCCCCCAGGGGTTCCTGAACCTGCGCTGGTCCCGCTTTGCCCGGGTGCTGCTCACGCGCTCCATCGCCGTCACCCCCACCCTCTTCGTCGCCATCTTCCAGGACGTCGAGCACCTGACGGGCATGAACGACTTCCTCAACGTCCTCATGAGCCTCCAGGTGAGCAGGGGGCAGCTGGCTGGGGTCAGGCCCCTCCCAACCCCCAGGTGTTCCCAGCCAGGTGGGGTCAGGCCCCTCCCAGCCCCCAGGTGCCCAAGACCAGCTCAGACGGGGCTTGGAACAACCTGGTCAGTGGAAGGTGTCCCTCCCTACCCATGGCAGGGATGAGCATTGAGGTCCCTTCCTGCCCAAACTGTTCCAGGACTCCATGATAATCAGGGCACTTCCCACTCTTCATTCTTCCCTGTTTTCCTGCTTGTTCCAGCTCCCCTTTGCACTGATCCCAGTGCTCACCTTCACCAGCCTGCCCAGCGTGATGCACGACTTCGCCAACGGCCTGTGAGTACCACGGGAACCCCCTGGGCACACCTGGGCGCCTCCTCACCTGGGCACCTCCTCACGTGGGCACCTCCTCACCTGGGCACCTCTTTACCTGGGCACCTCACCTGGGCACCTCCTCACCTGGGCGCCTCCTCACCTGGGCACCTCCTCACCTGGGCGCCTCCTCACCTGGGCGCCTCCTCACCTGGGCACCTCTTCACCTGGGCACCTCCTCACCTGGGCGCCTCTTCACCTGGGCACCTCCTCACCTGGGCGCCTCCTCACCTGGGCACCTCTTCACCTGGGCGCCTCCTCACCTGGGCGCCTCCTCACCTGGGGACCTCCTCACCTGGGCGCCTCCTTACCTGGGCACCTCCTCACCTGGGCACCTCTTCACCTGGGCACCTCCTCACCTGGGCACCTCCTGGCCTGGGCCATCCCCCCGCTGTGCTCACCCCGCTGTGTCTCTCCTTGCCCCCAGGTTCTGGAAGGTGGCCGGGGGCCTCCTGATCCTCCTCGTCTGCTGCATCAACATGTACTTTGTGGTGGCCTACGTGAGGGACCTGCACAACCTGGGCCTGTACATCGGGGCCGCCGTGCTCAGTGTCGTCTACCTGTCCTTCGTGGCCTACCTGGTGAGTGAGTTGGGCTCCACCTGGTGAGTTGGGCTCCACCTGGGCCCCCTCCCAGCTGGGAGAAGACTTTGGAGCAGCCCACGGCTCCTCTGCCCCTGCCTGGGTGTCACAGAGGTGGAAAATCGTGGAGTGACCACGGAGCCGTGGGGTGGGGTGGGGTGGGAGGGACCTTCAGGGTTATTTCATCCTGCTGTGCACAGGGACACCTTCCACCTCCCAGCCCCGTCCAGCCTGGCCTTGAACACTTCCAGAGATCCTCTGGGAAATCGATGCCGGTGCCTCCCCCACCCTCACGGGGAGGAATTGCTTCCCAAAATCCTCCTCTGGACTTGCTCCAACAGCCCCACGTCCTCCCTGTGTTGGTGCCCCAGAGCTGGGGGCAGCTCTGCAGGTGGGGTCTCACCTGAGGGGGCAGAGGGGCAGAACCCCCTCCCCTGCTGTGGGATGAGCCCGGGCTGTTGGGCCCCCCCAGGCTGTCACCTGCCCCCTCAGCTCGGTGTCACCTGCACATGAGCCCTGTCTGTGTCCCCAGTGAGGCTGTTCCCGGATACTGGTCCCAGTTTAGACCCTGAGGGACCCCCCTCATCCCCTGGGCATGGAGCCATTGGCTCCTTGAGTGGCCAATCTCTGATGCAGTGAGGGACCCCCAATGGATCCCTCTGTGGGGTCATTTGTGGAGCTTCACCCCCACCCCAGCTGAGGTTTGGGGTCCCCAGTGCAGAACATTGAGGGGCTGGAGGGTGTCCAGGGCTGGGAATGGAGCTGGGAAGGGGCTGGAGAACTGAGGGAGCTGGGGGGGCTCAGCCTGGAGAAAAGGAGGCTCAGGGGGGACCTTCTCCCTCCCCAACACCTTCCTGACAGGAGGGGCAGCCAGGGGGGGGGTCGGGCTCTGCTCCCAGGTGACAGGATGAGAGGAAACGTCCTCCAGGGGAGGTTTGGGCTGGATATTGGGGGAAATCTCTTCCTGGAAAGGGGTGTCCAGCCCTGGCCCAGCTGCCCGGGGCAGGGAGAGGTGCCTGTCCCTGGGGGGATTTATGAGCTGTGTGAATGTGGCACGTGGGGACATGGTCAGTGTTGGCCTTGGCAGTGCTGGTGCCAGTGCTGGACCCAACCATCCCAGAGGCTTTTCCACCCCAGCCCATCCCACAGTTCTGTGACTCCCTGACCCTCTGCCCCTCCCGCTCCTGTGTCCCTGCCCTGACTGTGCCCTGGTGTCCCCGCAGACGTGGCTGTGCCTCATCGCCCTGGGCGCCTCCTTCCTGGCCTGCGGGAACACGGTAAGCGTCACCCGGACCCTGCACCTGGAGCCGCCGCCCCCCCGGACCCCCAAATAATGGGGGGGGGGAGGTCCCGGACCCGCCGGAGCCGCCGGAGCCGCGTTCCCGGGGGAGGAGGCGCGGGAGGACCCGGAGCACCCGGCACTGCCGGAATCCTGCTGCTGTTCCTTTGCTGAGCCCCCAAATTCCCCCGGGGCGGGGGGGGCACGTGGGAGCTGCCTGACCCCTCCTGTCCTCAGTGTCCTTTAAATCCCCCCAGATTCCTCCTCACGGGGTGTTTGACCCCAGGGAGCACAAACACTGACTCCCGGGAGCGCTGCCCTGGCGCCCACCTGGATAATCCAGACAAATAAGCTACAAAAACCCCCAAATCCCCCTTTCGGGTGGCATTTGGGGACCGGGGTGACACTACAGCTGGATCTACCTCTGCCACCCTGGCCTGGCCAAATTTGGTCCTTTTTCACTGGAAAACACTTCCCATTCCCGGGGAAATCCCACGAGGACGGGAAACCTGAGCATTGATATTGTCACTACTGGTTTTTACTGGCCCGACGTGGGATTTTGGGGTCAGCAAAGGAAACGAGTTTGTGGTTATTTATGATTTTATGACTTTATTCCCTGTGACCTGTGGAAACTCTCTTCGAGTTCTCAAAAATCCCTGGATTATGGCTCAAAATCAGGCTGTGGAAGCTCCACAGTCTTTTCCAGGGGTTTCCTTGCTGCTCCCGCTTTTCCCAGATTTAAATTCCCCCATCTCACTTTCTGCTGCTGTTTAATGAGTTTTGGGTTTTTTGGGAGAAGCTTTGCTGGGAATGTGACCCAAGTGCAATGGAACAGATTGGGATGGAGGGAACGGGGCACCTCTCAGATCTCCAGCTCTAGCAGGGGTTTGGAGTCTCATCCTGCCTGGTGGGGTGGGTTTGGATCTCTGGATCATGGAAATTAGGGTTAATTAGGGGAACTCCCTTCTCTGTCCACCTGGAGGCACGGCAGAGGCAAAGCTCCGTGGATTTAGATCCCAAAATGCTTTATGGATCTGCAGGATGGAGCAGGGGTGGGGGTGAGGGGCTCCCCTCCCAGGTGGGTGTCACAGCTCCCACCCAGCCTGGCCCTGGATTATTTGGGATCCTTGGATCAGGGCTGCCCAGTGCCAGGGGCTCCATCCCTCGCTGTAATGGGGCTTCCTTGTAATTCCATCGGCCCTTCCCTGTGCCCCCTGTCCCAGGCAGGGAATCCTCTCTGAAATAAAATCCCCAACCCTTGGGAATGCTGCCCTGATGCCATTTTGGGATCCAGTGGTCACTGGGATTTCTTCCCTTCATGAGCAAAGCTGGGTCGCTCCCAGGATCGGGGCAGGTCGGGGCAGCCCCTTCCTGCCTTGAGCTTCCACAGGGTTTTATCCGTCACTGCCCAGGATCTGGGGTTATTCCATGGTGCCCAGGACACATTCCAGGGACATGAGTGACAACACCCAGAGCCCAGCAGGAAAAAACTTTAATTAGGGACAGGATTGTATCCGCTTTTCCCACCCTTTCCCAAACCAGCTGAGCCTTGTGGCTCCCCCTGACCCGAGCAAGGATTAGGACATGATGGATTCCCAGTTTTCAGGTCATTACCCCAGAATTCCAGCAGGATTTAACCCTGTAGTGTAACACTTGTAGGTTTTACACCCCTTCCCACAACCCAACAGCCACGATCCCTGGGAATTCAGGGGTGGGAGGGGACGGGTTGGACTCGGGCTCCAGAATCCCGCTGTACACACCCCCTGGCTCTCCTGGATCGGGAATGTTGGTTTGGGAGGGGTCAGCTTTCGTGGCTGAAACACTGACTGCGTGGCAGCAGCTCCACGGCAGAGCCTCTGGGTCGGGTCCCTGCCCGGGGGCTCCGCTCCTCGCTGCACTGATTTGGAGATTTTCCCTGGTTGTGTGAACCCCCTTCGCCATTAAAACACGGAGACTTTTCCAGCTTGGCTTCCTGGGTCGTTTTTTGGGGTCTGCTCCGAGCGCCGGCCATTCCTGGCTGTGTGGAGCCCCCAGTGCTCACGGAGCTGGGTCAGTAGGACGAGCTCCCGGGGGGGCACGTCCCCGTCCCCATCCCACGGGATTCGCTCCCGGGGTCACACTGTGACCGCGTCATCACCGGGAGAGTGGAGGGTCCGTCACTCTGCGGTGCCTTCCCGCTGGAATTCCCTCGGTGGGATCCAGGACACGGCCCGTCCATCCTGCCCCGCTCCGGCCCGACCCACCCCTGCGCCGAAAAACACGGAATTCCAATTTTCTTCCCTGCTTTCTTACCCCCTCCCCACTCCCGACCCGGAGCCTCAACTCCAGCCCAGCCCGGCCCGGGCTCAGCGCTGTTTAACACCGGGATCATCCAGGCTCATCCCGAGGATTCGGAGCGTCCTCCTGGAATTAACCCGCCTGTGCTGCCGGTGCTAATTAAGGCTCATCCACGCTCCAATTTAATTAAGCTGGAGCAGGAGTTAATTGAGGCTGCGGGAGGGATCGACTCGGAGCTGTGGGTGGGGCCGGGCCGGGACCCGCCCCAATTAACACCGGGATCCGTTCCTAATTAACACCGGGACCCACCCTCAATTAACACCGGGATCCGTTCCTAATTAACACCGGGACCCACCCTCAATTAACACCGGGATCCGTTCCCA